CGCCAACACTTCCACTCGAAATGGAAGTGAACTCAACAATTATGAAACAAGAGATTCTTCGAAACCCAACTTTTCTTCGTATAAAATAAACTTGAACGTTGCCTTAAAATTCCCGACTATGAATTAATATTTCACAGAGCCGCATGAAAATTCACTCTCTCAACGTCGGCATGGGAAGGAGTTGAGTTGAAATCCCATCGGAAAAAACGATGAGCTGGTCGAGACATGATCAAGTTCACCTTCAGGACTGAAGGAATGAAGATTTGCTCTCCACCAAATGGTACCGCACACACACACACACAGACACACACCTCAGGTTGTCCAGACTAGTCCGAAGGGCAGATGAATGCGATTCGGTCGAGCCTTTCGTTGGAATCAGTCTTCCAATTCGACCGTAGATGGTGCCGAAAAAGGGCATATTCGCCCAATTCCGGTAGTCTTTTGTACTCGAGTTTGGAGGCTCTCTCTCTCTCTCTCTCTTTCTCTCTCTCTCGTTCTGTATGTTCCAGTTTGTCTTGACTCCAGCACAGAGACATGTTTGTCTCGTCGCGAAAAAAACTACGAAAAAAATCGAATAAGACAAAAAACGAGAAATACTGAACAAAATTTGAGGATCAGAGCATGTAAATCTACCTTAACAGAGACAGAGACAGAGACAAAGACAAAGAGATGGCCAGATTGCCAGATAGATAGAGAATAAGAGATAAACACACAAACAGCCAAGCAGTTGGTAAAATAGTGAGACAAATAAGATAGATGTTGTTCTACATATCTACAAATAACTAAACGAGAGGGAGGTACACTTAAATACCGACAGAAGTGAAGCAGAAAGACATACAGAGAGATGGACAAGCACACACAAAAAGAGAAACAGACGAATGTAGGGCACAAAGTAAGATTTTATCAGAGAGAAACAGGGAAAAAGACAAGAACGTCAAATGATGACTAACGAACAAATATGCAAACAGACACACAAACCTTCATTTTATGTGAAAGGGTTTGCTGTAAGGATTCATATTTCTAAGGCAGGACTCGAGGCTGCTTCTTTGGGTTTCAACTCAAAATGGATTGCATTTTCGTTTGTCATACCA